ATATGAATAATCATACACATTTATCTTTTTTCCTTTTATTATATTTGCCTAATATAACTGCATCAATGGAGTAGGCATGAGGTGGTATACCTCTTAGGAGACTGCTTTTCTACAACTGACCTCTTTACACATTTTACTCCAAATTTTGTGGTGTTTTTTTTTAGTTTCTAGGAGATATGATTATGAAATAATAAGCAAACTCTGTTAATGAAGAGCTGTCTTCTTGGTTCCCCTAAAACAGTAATTCTGAGAGAGAGGTGAATGGCTTGATTAATTTCTACATGTCATTAACTTCCATGCCCTTAGATGACAGACAACTGTAATATTCACAATGTGAATTATTTCTCTGCTGATTAGTTTAGGAGAAACACACAATGATTGTACTTGTCACATGATCTAACACTGTGCCCAACAACCCTTCAGATCCCCTAAGGATCAAAATGTCCCTGCTGCCCAAACATGCTTTCATCACTCATTTTAGGCAGGACGGTTGTGTTTTTACAACACAAAAATCTGTAGCAATTATTAGCTGCAAATGTGGACAGTGCAAAGCAAAACAAATTTCAGAATGACTAGTAAGGTATGGACTGATGTATTGATATATACCTTTATTTAAATTTAGCTGACTAAAAACTGCTGAGAGTCTGGGCTTTATCTTTAAAATGTTTTCTCAAATCTCCCAGCCCATTAGACTTAAGTAGTTTAGAATTCAATGATCTGATTGCAGAGTTCAGAGATTATTAGAGCAAATGGGGCCTGATCAATGCCTTGGGTCGTCTTTTCAGTGTGTTAATTAATTAATCAACAGGAACAGAAATATATGTGTAATGCAAATTAACTCAGTCTCAAGTTACTAGAATATCAGAATTGGTTGTACATGGAAGAGGGGAATCCAAAAGCAGCACAATATTGGTGCTTTTATCTATGTAACACCACTTTTCTTGATGATGTCCTGAGATTGTTTCTGGTGTGCTCTCCTGAAAAAATGAATAAGCTTTTGAGGCAAGGCAAGAAATTCAGCAACTGAAACATTCATGATTCACACTCTTGATTCCATTTGTTGTCACTGTTTCTCTTTATTTACATTAACTTCCCCGTTCCAGGTTGTTTTGCTTTAACCTAGTACTGAATACATTTCCCCTGATCCCCAAGTCTACATTAATTTGCAATATTTCCCCACAAAACAAAGAAATTTGATATGGTCTTTTCTGTTATCTTTGCCAATGATTTTTTTAGGTTTTTTTTTTTTCCATAGCTTTGTCTTTTTGTGTTGAAAGATATAAGCTTTGTTCTCTCCTACTTGCTCTTTATTAAAAGTCTTCTATCCTTGGTCTTCTTCAGAGTACATGAAAGTTTTGTGCTACTTTTCCCAAGGACTGTTCATTGTCTCCATTGCCTGGGGAGGTTATGTACTTGATTTGTTTTGGAGAGTGGAGACATTCTTCTATTCCTGTATGTGGACCTCTACTTTCAACTGCATGCAGGGACCAGACCAACTCATTGCTCAGGTCATCTCTTTGTAACAGTCAGCTTTGCCTAGAATCAGTAAAGTTTTTAGGTTCAAACCTTGAAGTACTTCCTGTCAGGTTTCTCACTCCAGTTCTCTTATGGCTTTTTATGCAAACAGTAATTTTTATTAACAATAAAAAGGTTGTGTGCATAGTTGGGATAAAAGTTCTGGGGTTTCAGAAAAGAAAAGACAGTGCCAGCAATAGGCCTACAGTTCCTACAAACAGGGAAAGTTAAATTAAAGTTCAATTAAAGCACCAGAAGGTGGTCTGTCACAAACCCATGGACTGGAGCACTTGGGGTATTTCAGCTGCTCTGCCCTTACCTGCTGGTTTTGGAGACAACAGTAGCAATAGGCCAGCCACCAGAATTTCCTGTCTTAGTGAAACAACCTGTGGTATTCTGTAAAACTCACTCCTAAGACCAAGGGCCATGAAGTTTGCTAAGCCTGCCAGTAGATCCTTTGCTTAACTCTCTCCCTGTTCAGCTTTCATAGCTGTGGCAGGAGACAGAAGACAAAGATGTTGGTAAGGCAAGTAGGTATTTCACACTCATCTCAAAGAGACAATTTTCTGTTCTGTCACTTGTGTGATTTTATTCTTGTATGTACATAGACAGATTCCTTGAATCATCACATAAGTTATAAATTCCATTTTGTTTCCATGAACTGTGAGTCTCCCTGTGTCTGGGGCTGTCATGTGCTAACGAGACAGGAGGAATGCCAGCGTGTCAGTCATTACAGACTCTCTCCATCTAGTTTACTCTTAACTAGGAATGGCAATTGAGGACCAGGATCTTAAATAAGGACAGGCGTATCCCTCCTGGGATGAACTAACACAAAGCAGCCAGGTGGTAATGTTTGGATTTGAAAGCCAGGAAGGATTTTAGGAAGCAGAAACAGCTTGGTCAGGAAAGATAAAGTGATGCATGGACACACCAGAGGGTTCTTGTGACACAGCGGCAGTAGGGAGGCAGTGGAAGCCGCCATTTGAGGAAGCAGGTGGTGGGGAATGGGAGATGAAGGTCTCACAGCAACAACGGGGATCTCACAAAATCTCAAGGAAAATTCAACAGTGAGGAAATGCAGGCAGAGAGATGAACGTCTGTTTACTATTTCATATGTCTCTGTGTATCTCCTGTGGTCATTAAAGTGAAAAATAGCTGGTTTTGAGGTAGTTTGCAAAGTCTGTGCATTTCCTGATTCAGCTTTGTGGGATTCTGGAGAGATAAATTGTCGCTCAGATGTTGACTATGACTGAGCTCTGGGAAAGAGGGAATCAAAGCCACAGGGATTCAGCAGCAGTCACAGAGTCTAAGCAAAGGTCTCTGTTCCTTTGGAGACCAAAAGCAGATAGAAAAATTTCAGTGTTTTTGCATGGAAGTAGACCGGGGCTTTGTGAGTGGCCCACAAGAGGTATAATCTAGGCTATAATATCTCAGTCTTTGAATTCTTACCTGTAGTAAAATGAAAGTCACTGGAAGAACACCAAGACTTGCACATAGTAAGATATCAAACAGTACCATCAGTGGCTGCAAGCATTATCTGGCAAACACATGTCCACAAGCAAGCCACAAAATGAAAGTCAGACCCATGTGCATTATCATCATTCACACTAAACCCAAAAGTAATAGTTCCCACCAACTGACAGGCTGTTAGCTCAGGCTTAGTGCCATACTACTGTAGCTACATTGCTTCTGACTGCTTTGGTGCATGGGAAAAGGCAGCTTGTGGTTGCTTGCAGGATGGTCAAAGTAATCACATCAGCACATGTTTAACATGCACCCTGTGTTGGAAGGACTCAGGTGAGATTGCCAGCATTTCAGTTATTGACTTTGTGTGTTTTCTCATACTGGGGTGATGGCCAGTGTGCATGAATAGCTTTCTACAATGAAGTCAAACTACAAGCTCCTCAGAGACAATTTAAAAGGAGTGAAATGGTCAAGAGGATAATGTGGAGCAAACTGATGTAAATGGTTCTGCATATGCTGCAATTTTTGAGATTTGTTTTGGAAGTGAAGGGAATGTACTTTGGTGTATAGTTTTGGTTTGCATAAATTCAGAAAAAGTTCTGAATTTCTTTTTTTCTGAAAATATAACTTAACCGTTGAGAGGGACGTAAAACTTTTGTGATGAAAGGAAAATATTATAATAGGAAAACTGAGGATTAATGTGATGTCCATGTTTCAGACTTATTAGGTCTGCAAATAGGTGAACTCGGGAGATTACTTTGTATGATTTTTACATATTTAAATGGACATATAGTTATCTATATAAAATATTAGTGCATATTTACTGTATAATAATTAATTCAACTTTATAAGCAAATTAAGATTACCTCAAATTTACATACAATGTGAAGAAAAGTCCTTTTATCCTCTGTAACTGCAGCATTTGGCAGATTCAGGAATAAATAATCTTTTGTGGCAAGGGTATGCCTTATCAAACATATGCAGATCAGTGCTAATTAATGCTAATTAAGGTTTCCTGTCTATCTAGCTGGAAAAACGTCCAAATGTTATGAAATCCAGTTAGTATGCCTATTACCCTAATTGTTTTATATGGGATGGTTCTTAATTAAAATATGTAAATTGACCTTAATTGCTATATACTAATGGAGGTTCATGTTATCTCACTAAAAATGACAAGATGGTGAGGAGGAGTACTTAAACAAATAAGTCTGATACATTTGTAAATAAATGACCTTTACTCAAAATTATTTTTAATTGGAAATTGGCAAAAGGAACATTTTGCCATCCATGTTTCTCTTTAGTTTTAAATAATGTCAGAATTTACAGTTCTTTGTTAATATATATCTAGTGACATCGCAGCTTAATTAGGACTGCTAAACAAGTCAACATTTTGTGTGTTTACTGTATGTTTCAAAATTGTTTGCTGACCTCACAATGACCTTCAGAAATGTCATGCTTTACAATATTAATCTTCTTCTTCACTATTTTTTGTTTTATTTTTTGATTTTGATCTCTTTTAATGGTACGGTTTTATTTGTGAAGTTTGATGTACTTTTGCTGGTGCCTGGCCTGTGCCTTTGCAACAGAGAGGCTGGTGAGCAGCGCCTCACTGTGAGTGTAGGACATGGACTTTGATCATCTTTTGGGAGGATAGTTCACATGTATGCTGTTACATGACTGAGGCCTACACAAGTTTCTACACAAAGTCTTACATCCCCTCTGCCCAACACAGAAGCATAATTTGAATGATAGTTTGTATGGCAGTTTGTAGGTGCCTCATATTGGCATTTTCTTGGTAGTTATCATACCACTTCACACACACAGGAAACATTTTTTTCCTCTGATGTAAAGAATTTAATTAGAGAATCTCCTGTTTTAGAGAACTGCCCTACAGTTGTAGCTTTTACTCATAATAATAGTAGATTTTTAAAACACTTGGTGCATTTAAGTTTATATTATATACATTGTTGATATATGCCTCTCTTTGAAAAATTTGTCTGAAAGTATTTGCTGTTTTGCAGGATATTGTGACCAATGTTTCTCCAAGAATTGTCCGTGGAACTACTTCAGGTCCTATGTATGGCCCAGGCCAAGGCTCTTTTCTAAACATTGAACTGATCAGCGAGAAAACAGCAGCATATTGGTGTAAAAGCATTGCTGAATTGAAGGCTGACTTTCCAAACCATGTAAGTGCCACTTAATCATAAAGATGCAACATACTTATTTAGAATATCCCGTTTATAAACCTGTGAAAACTCAGATATTTAGTATTTATTAAATACAATGCAAATTGATTTATTGACATGCGAGTAAGTTGCTAAAAACCAGAATAACCCATCCAAATATATTTATGACAGAAAATTCTGTGAAATGACTGTTATACAGAGAACAGTCATGATGTTTTACTTAGGATGATGTTTTACTTAGGCTGATGTTTACATTCAGAGAGATAATATCAAGGAAAAGAGTTGATCCCCGTGTGGATGCTTGTCAATTCTGTTGTGAATAATTTTGTATTTGAGATTATATTTAAAGATGTAACTTATAATAATAATTGTTTCTGTGAATTAAATTTAATCATAAAAGGAATATGGTTTTTTTCATTCTTAATCCAAATGTGAAAGATACTTATTTTTATAAGCAATTGACTGCTTTAGGTGAAAAAAAAATACTTAAAGTTAACTTCACTACAAGTTTTGTTAGAGCTTGTTTGGCTCTGGGGAATATCTGTCGGAAAGGTAATAGTCAAAGTTGGGAGCAATGACTCCAGCTAGCTGGCATAAGGGTTTTTAGGTACTGTTCTAGTGGATAAGAACCATGAAGTGGAAAGTAAAATTCTCCTCAATCATTATCTCAAATGGATAAAGTTAGAAATCCTATAGCCTGCATATCTTCTCTCTTGAAGTTGTTACCTCCATGGTTCAGCTATGAGCAAAGTAAGTGAATGTTCCTGAATATATTATGACATGAAGATAATATGGTTTTTTTTTTTCTTATTCCTTGTGTTTCAATGTATACATCAGCAAGTATAAAAGAATTTAAAGACAAACTATTGACAGTAAAAGTTAAGTGCTGCATGTTTAATACTCTGCTGTGGATGGACTGTGTGTTTCTTTGCTGAGATTCTTGTCACTTTATTTACTGTTCTTTTTTTTTACTTATTTACTATTTCATCATAGTGAAAGTATGAACCAAAAAATAATATCCTGATTTTGATTTTAACATCCTTTGTCAAAATCCTGGATATTGCATGCAGGCAGACTGTTGACCATTTCTGCTGTGGGAATGCTATTCCAGTGCAGTCTTCACCGAAAATCCCTCACAGCACTTTGTACTCAAGATCAAACCATTCTCTTCTGTGAGGAAAAGCACTAGCAACATTTCAAAAGTAAGATTTGAATTTTCTGAGACCTTGTGTCGTGTGTGGGATGAAGTCCCACTCTTCCACAATGCCTGTGGTCAGCATCTTCTGATCATCCCTCATTATATGTGAGTTATTACTTTGAGAATGTGAATTCAGATCCTGCATGTTGGCTGTGGCCGCTACTGTGGCATCTTTGAGGTTGGTAATGCCTGTGTGGGCATGGGGGACGCAGTCCAGCAGTAGACCTTGGCATTGCTTACAGGGGTTTTTAAAACATGCCTGTGAACTCTTAAGATCTGTCACAATTATAACAGTAAATTTGTTGCTAACTGAAAACAAAATTTTTTTCACTAAGTAGAAGTGTCTTGGTGCTTATTTTGAGATATTCTGTATAATTAAACCTTGCAGAATTTTCTTTCTCCAGTGTCTGTTCACTCCTTCAGAAAGGCTTTTTAAACTTTGTGAGTTTTATTAAAACCAAAACCAATTTCTGAGAACTGTTTGGGTGAACTTAATTAACAAGCAAAGGATGACATATTCTGTTCAAATGAAGGCCAAGCAGATGAGAATACAAGTGATTACAGTAAAAAAATTACTATGGCAAATTTTAAAAGCAAATTGAAACTTACACATAATTGCTTTTTCTGTGTAATACAAGTAATTTAAGGTAAGTTTTATCTTACAGATGAAAGGAATATGAGCAAAATAGCTACTTCACTAGAAGATGATCACACAACAGCATCCTATCTTGTGCCATTGGGAAGAAGCAAACCAGAAAGGGCAGCCAAATTCCCCCAATAGAGGCTAGGATGTAAACTAAATTTTGCAATAGGTTGTGCAAAAGAGGACCACCAGTCACAGCTCAGTGGTGATGTCACTTAACTGTGACATGTTGCCTCTATAAATCAGAAACTAGCATCTCCCTTGTGCTGTCTTCACCCCTGTAGTCAGTGACCTCATTCTTTGGCTCTTCTGGTTCCTGATTCTTGCTTGTGGCTTTCAGTTGTCTCTGACTGGCAGTCTTTCCCACTCTTCTCTTATGTCATTCCCTACCAGGCTAACAGAAGTCCATCACGAACAAGCAAATGTCTGAGAAATTTGTACTACAAGAAAGAACTGAGATCTAGGAAGAAGATGGCAAATTGAATTTTTTTCAACATTGCTATGTTAGTATACTGAAGTCTTAAAAGTAACTTTTTGGCCTCCAAGCTCAACACAAATGAGTTTGGTCTCCTCCATGACTCTGGGGAATGTACACAGGATACCAGATTGTCAGCTGTGACACTGAATCTGTGATTGAGATATCAGTGTCACAATGTGTTGAATTGAGAAACCTCTTCTGCTAGAAACATTAAGTACTCTTGGACCCCAAAACTAAGCTGAAAACTCTTGTCTTAATGTTTGTTCTGCTGCTTGCAGAATGTTGCTGACAGTCTCTCTGACAGTTACTCAGCAGAGAGCAGCTTTTCAAGGCTGAAACTGTTAAAGATATATTTTTATTCAACATTTTGTTCAGAATGTCCCAGGAACACCTGTCGGGAATAGCCATGCTAGAGAGTGTGTGGGAACAGATCGCTGGATCCCAGGCTGGTAACCAACTTCTTTGTAGCATTGTGGGGGTTTTGTTGGTGGTTGTTTTTGGGGGATTTTTTTTAATCTCGTGGAATGGTGTAAATAGTGTTTTATATTATGCATTTTTTTTCTACCATAGAAGTATGAAATAAGGATGACACTTTTGTTTGCTTTGGGTGCTCGTAGGTTCTTGGTTTGAAAGTTTTTTTTCTAATTTAGGTAAAAAAACCAGATTTGGTTTAATTCCACTCTGTGAGGACAGGAAAAATAAGGTGTTACTGAGGGAAAAAAATACAACCTTAATAGGCATATGTGAGTGCCTTGCTTCTATAAATAAATTTTGTTTGCAGAAACATGCAATGTTCGAAAAGATTTTGTGAAGTTATAAAGTGAATAGAAATAGATTTGCAACAGCAATAATAGTTATTTGGATAGTTTATTTGGAGTGGTTTGGTTAGTTTTCCAAAGTAATCCCTGAAGTGAGATCATCAGTCTTATGTGTTGGACCAGCTCTAGTTTTAATAATAGTTTTCATCCACAGACTATGAACAGAATTTATCTATTTATATAAACCTTTTTCCTCACTAAATCTGCACTAATGGTAGACCTTGTAATCTAGTTACTGAAAGGAATTGACCAGGATATCTAAAATTGCTGTAGATCTCCTTTGAGACTTAAAATTAAGGGACATGAGGTGGAAAACTGTTTAAGATACAGAGGAATCATAGACTTCACAGCTTTACTGTGAGGAGAAGGTCAAAGTTGGATTTCTCACTAGAGGTATTAGTAATAAGCTGTGTATTTTTGCAGGTATTATTATAGCTTTTGCTTTTAATGGATGTTTAGAGACCTGTGAGATGTTGTACAGAGTACACAGTATTTGCATTTTAGATACCAGTCACTGACTTGATTAAGATTATAAAAAGTTCTGCTCTTCCTAGGGCTAATATAGATAGCTTTGCATTTCCATCACAAAGAAATTATACTTTGTACTCCAAATACCTGCTGAGCTGTGCATCCGTGTGATAAGTCACAGACATCTTGACAAGCTCAACACCTACAAACTTGGAATAAAACATTTCTAAACAACCAGGTAGGGCCATGCCCATGTGGACCTCACTTGGTGCCAACACCAACCAGTGTATAGTCACCTGAATGGGGATGGTACCTGCTGTGCATTCTCAGGCCTATCAGAGGATCCTTGCTGGAAGTCCAAATGCTTTTCCACATGAACTGAAAAGGACAGAGCACAAGGGGAGGGAACCACAAGCTGGGAATGCATACTCCCAGAAGTTCCCAGCAGTGCAGAAGAGCTACCTATATTCCTTTATCTGAATTTCAGATCTACAAATCACATTAAAAAACTCCAGAAGTTATCGCTGCAGCTTAAACTTCCTAAAGCCAGTTTGGGTATGAGGTGGATGCTTAGTAGGAGGTGAAAAAGCCCACACAGCAGTTGTTAAATTCACCATATGGAAAAGATCCCTTTCACTACAGAAAATTGGCAGTAGGCCTATTCCCTTAACATCAGAGGAAATCCTAGCTGAAAAGGGAAGATGAGGTTGGAATAAGGTACTCATATGGATTACCTTTCCCAGGAACTAAACCACATGACCCTAGCTAATGTGGAGCACCAGAATGGTCACAACTCCTCAATTTCCAGTGGCTACTGTGGTGGGTAGAAGAGACAAGACCTCGGAGCATGGACCATATGACCATGTTCCTTTTTTTTCTTTTCCATTAACCACAAGAAAAAGGGAGGAATAAAAAACAGTAAAGAAAGATGCTTCCTAGAAGAGAGGGAAGAGAGCTGATATGAAAGAACAGCAGACAGATTAACAACATACCTCTATATGTTCTGGGGCAGCTTCCACTCTCCCATCCTGAGGGTGTCCTCATTGCTCCTGATCCTAATTCAGCTGTTTGTGAGCCAGGAGGATGCATTTTCCTATGTGCAGTCTAAGGAGGAATTCAGCAAGAACTCTGATTTACTCAGTGTATTTACACCAGAAGTGCTTATCCATTTCTGTAGGTACAGCAATTTCTATTTGCAAGGAAGAGTGAACAGAAACAGAGCCTAGTAACAGAAATGTTGATGTATTGGGTCTTTGAGATCACATTTTCTTATAAAGAAGAAAGTTTTCTGGGAAAGACTCTTCCACAAGGTATAAAAAATGTTCAAGCTTCACATGACCTGAATATTAATAGAGATGGGACTGAGCTACAAAATATGGTGCTGTAAATTTTCAC